GCAGTCATGTGCTTGAGTCCTTTCATGGAATAAAATCAGGGAAAATGGGGACAGGGATTCATGAATGAATATTCATGAATGGAAGGGGATTTTCGGCCATATTAGAGGGCAAAATGGATGGGTGATGTGTTGGGTATTTTGGCTTGGCTAGTGAGGTGAATATTTGGTGGTTGGGGAGTGATTCATTCTGCCATAGTGGGGGACAGTGGGGTGTGAGAAATATGGCTTTTATAGGGTGGCTTTTATGGTGGTTTAAAGGTCAAAGTAATCAAAAATATCCCTTGGCTTGTTGTGCTTGTTATTTCGGTTGTACTAGGGGACAAGGGGGGGACAATGTTTGTGGGATGTTGGGTGATGAAATATGGTTGTTTGGCTTGGTGTGTTTCGGCCCTAGCTTAGGGAAATGAAAAGGAAATTGACTTATGGTTTTTTCTTTTGGCACAAAACGTGTTATTTTGATGGAGTGATTCAAGTAGGGAGTGGGGTAGTCTGGGCAGGGTATACGGCTCTTTTTAAGATGGAGATAGGCTCAAGGTTGTCAGGGTTAAGTAATATGGTTTGGGGTTGGAGAATTCATTCCAGAAAGGATCGTAACACTTAGACATGATTCCACTGATTTGTTTAAGGATTTGAGGATCAGGTGTAGTACTAGGGGATATAACATATACCCCAGCACGGTTCACAGCACACAGTTTCATTGCATGTTTTATAAATTTTAAAAATCTTGTTTTAGTGCTATGTGTTCGTATACATAACATGCCTCATGTTCTTATTTAAAAGGTGTTATCCCTCTCTTGTGAATCAATCATATTCTACTGTCCAATAACATCCTGGTTAAGATCTCAAAATATTTTATTTTTTCTTCTTATTTATTTTTTCTTTTTTTTCTTTTTTGATCACTTACCAGCACCACTTGCTAGATTTCTCAATCCCCTAATATTCAACCGCAACAATAAGCAAAATGTAAAATTTGCAACATTTTTCAAAAAGAAAATCCTCCTATATGTTTCTCTATCAGACATGTGTATTTCTATACTCATGAGAGTGAAATCCATTGTAAACCTCAAATATTCTACACTTCTACGGTGGCCTTGTCCAATAAATCTCTCATCTCCAACAACAGAAAAAATGGAAAATATTAACATTTGCAGCATTTTTCAAGAGGCGAGCCTGCCTTAATGTATCTCTCTATAGATTATAGTCCTTGATAGGTAAGTGCATACATAAATCCACAAAATGGACACTATGCAGTTATTTCACCAATAATCCAAAGAAAAAGAAGAGATTTTAGCATTTTTAATTAGTGTGTGACTTGTCCAAACCATTGAAGTTATCAGTAGAAATACAAGTATACAGAAATATATTATAAATATTTTTAATGTTTGCATGTTCAAGTAGTCATGTCTAAGATTTCAAAAGACAAAAAAACATAATCCAAAATCTGCTACAATATACAGCATTCATTTCATTTCTTTAGTGTGCATTATGTAATACCTGCAAAGGATTGAGCAATGGAGGTAGAAGCCTTGTAGTGGGTCCACTTTGGGTTAGCAATGGCAAAAAAGGCAAAATCCGTCCAATAAATGACCCAGAGCCGAGTACAATGTTTGCTAAAATGAAAAAGTCACAAGACACTTATTGGAATTAATCAAAGTTAAAAACAAAAAAGACCCCGAGTTCAATCTTTGAGTTCATAGCCTCATACTCAACTATTTAGGATAAAGATGAAGTCCCCCCCCAAAAAAAAAACCCTACTTCCAATACTTCCAAGTGAAGCTAGCTGGGTTTTTTTATTTGGTAATCATTGAGTCAATGAACTTTGAGCAATAAATTATAAGAAGATCTGTAGCATAAAATCGATGTTAGGCACATCTTTTTTATTTTTGAGTTTCTGTGCAACACTTGGCCAACATTGAGCTCCAAAAGACAAATACAAAAAGGCATTCCAGTAAAAAAGAAGAAGAAATGATGCTTTTCCCACTAAGGTCCAACAATTGATGCTTTTGGGAAAAAATTCTTTGAAAAAGCCATCAGCTGAAAAAACAGGCATGAGTAGCAAAGACATTAAAAACAGTCCAGTAGTAGTCCACAAAACATAAATGCACCACCAAACCCATCTTCTCACCACCTTCATGCACCTAAATTGTGAGACATTAATCATTTAGTTTTTTCCAGAACTTAGAACTACAATAAACACTGCAAGCACGGTTGCTCTGGTCTCCTCGAGACCATTGTAATCAAAGTATCGAAACAACAGCAACAAGCATGGGAATGGCGCTCCCACAACCATACCTACTATTGAACAATGTCTTATGTGTTGCTTATAGTAATTTTAATCTTGTGCCTATTAGCAAACTCACTTGATCACTCAAGTCTCAACTATATTGTAACATATTCTGTGATTCTTTGATGTTACTACATCGTAGTACGAGGAAGATGATTGATTTTGATCATTAATTACATGCATCACTTACCTTCATTAAAACGATCTAGTTTCTAGTGTCTGTTTCAAGTCGGCATTACACTCCAAAACTGTGGGGGCCACCTTAGTCTTTCCACCGTTGATAGCGGTACTCACATTTGGAGCTTATATTGTGTCAGGTCTACCCCGGGGTTTTGGTATATTGTTATTTCCATTGATGATTTTTCAACATACACATGGACATTTTTAAATGAAAGATCCATTTAATTATATCAAGCAGGATAGGAAACAATCCTTTCCAATAGAAACGTGCAACCATATTGTGAGTATTCATGCATGCGAATAGTCAAAGATAATTTTATGGAATCTTGAGAGTTTTTTTCAGTCTCAAGAGGAGGCAATATCTTGGTAAGATTCAATCAAACTAGCTATTACTTCAATTGATATAACGGCGTGTCTCTTTCGAGACCAGGACCTTTTATCCGGGGCCACAAGGGGAAATTCTAGACACCTTTTCGCACTTTGTATCTGGAGTCCATAATTTGCATTATACCCTTGCAGCATGGATAAGCTCACACTTACCCATCAATTTGGGATCCAAGTTCAAGATTTTCCTTGAGAGATTTAATATTGTTTAAGCGTCCATGGCTAAGTGGTTAAAACGCCCAACTCATAATTGCATAATTGGAAAAGTTGTAGGTTGTAACAACGGGGACAACAAATCCGTTCTAATCGATTGGGTATTGGTAGTTCTTTCATGTCATATATTGAGAACCACATGTTGATACCTTCTCAATATATTTAGAAACTTGTTAGCTAAAGTGCAATATCAATTCTATTGGTTCATCAAAGTTTTAATGCCGAAGATTTCCTTACCAACACATATAACCAATTTATGGTTGCCCATGGAATGCTCCATCAATCTTTTTTTGGATGAGACATCTCAACAAAACAAGATTCTAAAGAGGCCAATTCCCTTGATATTGCGAATGAATGTCATGGGATGACATCACAGTGTTTCGATGACTCTGTCGCAGTGGTTCGTACCCCCTAACCCCAGTACCCCACCCCAGCACCATACCCAAAACGGGAACACCATTGGTGCTTGATGTCCTCTCGTGACATAAGTTCTCATTGTCAAGAAAACCGTAGGAGATTGTGTTATATCTCAGCTCCGAGTGTAACGGTATTAAGCTCGGATTTAAGGAACAAGCTCCTTCTTTTGCTGGATGGGTTAATAGTCGATTATAAGTATGGTGATAATCGATTATATAGGACTGCAGGAGTTTCCCTTGATGTATGGTAATCAATTGTCCAAGTAGGATAATCGATTGTCAAGTGATTCAGTTTCTCAGGAGGAGCTTCAGAAGTTTATGAGAAATAAACAATCGATTTACAAGAAGTGATAATCGATTATGGAAGGCTGCAGATTTTCTGGGAATGAGTGATAGTCGATTATCTTAAATGGATAATCGATTATTACTACCTGCAGATGTTTCTAATGGAACTGATAATCGATTGTGGGGAGTGATAATCGATTGTTTGGCAGTGATTCTGGACAGGAATAAAGGCGTTTTTACGGGGAATGGGTTGGAAATATATGGGGCTAATGAGGGAGTTCTTTTGGGTATTTTTAATGGAAGAAAAGAGTAATATTAAGAGGAGAAATGGGGAGGTATGAAATGGAAGAAAATCAGGGATGGATAAACCAAGTTGGTGTTTAAGAGATATAACACACTCTTATCCTAACTTGGGGTTTGAATCTAGAATTAAATTAAGATATGACACACTTAATCAAATATCTAGAACCTAAAACTCACACTTAAGATAACCACTCTTAAGATATAGAATTAGGAATTTGGCTAAAATAGCATCACACTATTTTAAAAATACTCAAAGAGTAAAATGTTTTAATATTCAAAGGGTTGTGTTACAATGGCCATAAGGCCTGAGTTATATAGGCAGGGGAAAGGGGAAATAATACACAATGCAATGAATGTGAACATGAGGAAGCTTCCTAGCAGCATCCTCTCTCAAAGCATGGGGCATTCTTCATTCAAACCTGTCTCCTTAGTGGGATAAAATCAGGGATGGGGCTGGGGATTGTGGGGTTTTGGGTTTTAGGATTGTAGTGGTTGTTTTCCTGG